CTATTTGTCTAAAGCAAACAAAACCTTCTCAAATCGTTAAAATATCGTAAATTAAAGGAGTTTTATTTAAGCAGTAATCAGTTGTCCGTGAAAATACTGGGAACGAGTTTCACAAAGTTGTTTTACACTCGGCAAAACCGGACCTCTAACTCCAAAGTAACAGTTAACTCTTGATTGGCTAGGCCGAAAGCTGGAGAGCAAGCTGCATGCTTAATTTTATTATATGTTAAATAGTTTTGTTTGCAATACAATAGTTTCACAATTGGGTGTATTCGAGTCACGTGAAAGTCGAGCGTCGAATTTTAAGATGGATACATTGTTCCTTTACTTGATGGAGTATCATAATTGATTTTAATTAACTTTTCTCTTTTTAAAGCCCGCTCAGAAATTCACTAAAAAATACCAAGTTTTACAATAACTAATTACTTTTATTTAATTTTTTCACTGTGCGATTTTACGTACTGTGTGCTAGCTTTTAAGCTTTTCGTGTTTCTAAGCCAAGTGAAACATAAATCCTGAATAGTAACAATGTTTATATACACTCAGCTGGGTTCTCAGGACTGCAAACGAGATAAAGGCGACCACCTGAGGTACAATCAGCCTCTCTGAAAGAGCTAAGGGCCTGGTTAGTTAATAGGCTATTTTGCTATATAACCAACCACACGTGAAAATAAGCGTAATACGTAAAAATTGAAAACTCTCAAAATGTCTTTTGTTACTTTATCATTAGTGTTTACATCATTTTGAGGTTAGTTGAACGAGAGGACAAAAAAATTCAAAGGCAACAGAATCGAGTTAAAACTTGTGACAAATCGAGATTTAAAGATCTTTTGCTTAATGATTGAAAAATAACATTCATTCGAGAAATACAATTATGCTTGGCTGAACTTCAGCATGGGTAGAATCGGTCTCTTTCAAAGAACATTTAGAAGTTATATACTCTTCAAACTGAAAATACTAGGAATACGCCATTTTATTACAGTACTCCATGGGGCTTGCCTAAATATTCCATTTAAAGGAGCAACCAGCACAATCTCGAAGTCAATCCACCGTCTTCAAGTAAGCGGAACAATTGGTTTAACAATTCTCCGCTCCACTAGATCACATTAGAAATGGTTTTCACATTATTTTAAGGTGTGATGAATAGGCGCCCACCATATTCTAAATGTAGTAACTAAAATCGAACATAAAACTTTATATCTGGCAAATCGAGATTATGAGACCTTTTGGTTTAAATGTTTAAAATATAACGTTTGGTATAAGAAACAAAACAATTTTCATCAAGAGTTGAATACGTCAATAAAAATAGAAATATTTCTTAAATGGGAAACGTTTAGTTTTATTTTATTTCATCCAGTAATTATTTAAAATACATATATTTATGAGAAAACTTCTTAGTTTATTTATTTCTTTGTGAACACTCCTCGTTTAGAGTAGAAAGTGCTACAAGAAATCCTGAACGGATTTGATTTATTGTGGTTACTATATTATTGATATCATTTGACATATTTATCATATTATTTTGTAATGATATTCTAAAAAACGCCTTTCAAGACGGTTTAGCGGAATGTTATAAAAACTTTTTTTTTAACGCGGGTTCGCAACAGCAGAGATCATATAAACCCTCAGGGAGCCGGTGTTTTTTGAAAAAAAGCCCATCGAATACAGGGCCGCTGGATTCGAACCCGGGACCTTCACCTTACAGTAACGAGCGCCGTGACAACGCAACCGTTGCGGCCACCGACGCCCCAACTTGTGTTATTACCGTCATTGTATAAAAATTATGGGCTTTTTGTAATGAGAATACAAAGAACACAATAAATTTTATATTGTTTAAATAAAAAAAGAGGATAAAATTAACATCATCCCAACTTTATTTTCTCATCAAAATTTAATTCAAATTTTATGGATATGAAAGTCGTTAAACTAAAAAGCCTGTAACATTTTAAAATAAACGAGTTTCAACATTTGATTTCTACATGAAAACAGCACCCATAAAAATAAACATAACTGATTTTTCCCCATTATTTTGAGGTAATGTTAAAGTATAAGTTTGATGTCTTTGAATACATTATGAAACATGGAGTATTACTTATTTTGACATAAATATATGAATTTTGCCCGCTATGAAAAGAGGAGAAAAGCCTTATCAATTTCTAACCAAAACAATGTTTTTTGAACTTGCCTTTTATTTTTTATTTCCTAGCTTCTAAAAGAATCTAAAGGGCTAAATTAAAAAAACTTAATTTAAATTAATTAAAATTTTACTTAATTTAAATATTAAAGGGGGAATACAAATTCCTTCGAATGTTTATGCTAGTGTGAGGACCACAGGCAATTTCAAATTCTTGAAAAATTACATTCAAAAAATACAAAAACAAAACAATTACTAAAATATCAATAAAAAAATACCTTCCCGTCTTCTATTATATAACATGTCAAAGCACCTTGAAAACCCGTGAAGATCAAAAATTAGGTTGAGGACCTTTTGCTTTATAATTTATACAATATAGAAAATGCAAATCTAAAAACATATTAAACCTCACTTGATAATTTTTGGCTAAAAACCTAGTAAGAAACTTCAGAATATTCATACCTGAGGGATAAAAATCTAGGCTGCAACAATCAATACGTCGGTGGTAATTTAGGTAGTTGGTTTACAACCACACTTAGGATTTGAAATACGCCTAACTTCCAAGATGTACCAACAAAACTTTCCACTGAAAGACAAATTGGTAAAAGAAAAAAAACTAAATGAAAACTGCTCATGTTGGCAGACTTCTACGTGACGATGCTTTACGTACGTCCGAGAGCGATCAGTAACGCCGGCTGGAAGGAAGGCCGTGAGTCGTATTACTGAGGCAACTGTTGGGAAGAACACAACGTAAACTGTCTCCCAAATGGAACTCTCTACTCTGGTTATCATAATTACAAAAGGACCGTCCGGAAGGCAAAAAGCTGGGTAGGAACAGACCACGGGATTGCATGTAAAGGGTAACTACGAACAAGTACAAGCAGCATCAAATAATTGGTTAAAAAGGATTTATGAAGTTATCATAAATGTCCATTGCATTGCCTGTTAATACGTAGTAATATAATACCATTATGGAATATGTCTTTTATTGATAAACGGGATATGGCCGTTGTAAAAGAATCAAACAACGGTTTCAAGATGGCCTCTGCAAAAGCGTGATACCCAGTATAATAAAATATTCTCACAATTACCGTTACAAAATAACACGCCAATTTTACTTTGGAATTAGGGGGCAGTTCAGGTGAGATTGTGGTTAAAAACGCCTGTTCAATGTGAAGTCCATCTAGTTTTACAAAGGTAGCAAGACACGAAACAAGCTCTTCACGTCCTTAATAAAGCTTGTTATTTTTATTTATTTATTTTTTTGACAGGGGAATCCGACAGTTTGGTCATTTCAGCACCGAAGCACACTCGATGCACAATCACACCAATAAATACATTCATACATTGGTCGCATTCATACTGTTTGGTAGATGGAGTACTCAATATTCCTCCATCTACCTATTCCCTATAATAAATTAATCTAGATTGGGGTCAATAGGGTATTTTTATAAAATTGCCACCATCGGCACAAGTCACACACACAACCTAAGAGGCGATGGAGAAGCTATTTCACCATCAGCCCCTCCCCATTCACACCAATAAATACTTTCACTCATACAAGACACAGAAACACAAAACACATATTTTGAAGGCTGTATACAATAAAAAAATCCCAATTCCCCTAAAAAGCGGAACAGGGGACTACGAAACTCGCTACCATGTTCGAGAACTCTTCTTAAATCCTACAAGCTCTCTGTACGGAGCCAAGGCATGGCACGCCTCTATTATGTGGGACACATCGAGCAACCTTTCTCTTCATAAGGGGCACCTGCGCGGGCTTTGGCCCAAAAGCAGATGCCCGTGTGTCAACCGTGTGTGGCCAACCCTCAGTCGGGTGAGGACGATCCCTCGTCTCCTGATCAGCTTCTCTGAAGGCCATCTACTGGTCGTGCTTTTGGCTTGCATGTGCCTCTCCGACGACCCTGCCCACTGACGCTGTCATCTTTCTTTTATCATATTTTTTACTTTCGCTTTCGCCGCCTCGTCCGCACGTTCGTTACCCTCCAGGCCGACGTGTCCGGGAATCCAGACAACAACCACCATTTTTCCGAGAGGATCCAGCTCCGCGTATTTCTCTAACAAGAGTACGACGAGAGGGTCTACAGAGAACCTGTCGCGTGTAGCCCAAACAGCGCTCAGAGAGTCGGTACATACGAGGAAGGCTGAGCACTCAAAGCTGTGTCATTAAAAAGTTAGTTATTCATGAACAAAGAAAAATATATGGTAATCAAACCTATCCACCATCCTCACATGGTTTTGTCTACAAAGCAAATAAACAAAAAAAAGCTGTCAGTTACCCAACATATCAATCTTCAGCAAATGCCTATCTGGAATATGAACATAAAAGTCATTAAATATAATTCAAAGGCATTTAGTATATAAATACGTGTAATTTTTCTAACCGGTACAATACTAGATTGAATAATGAGTATATCTGCGGACTTTGTAACGGTGTTATCTTCAATTGTCAAACGCAGGTGGATTTAGACATGAAACGGTTTACAAACATAATCTAATCGAAACTTCTTAGTAATGCCAATTAGTTCCCTCTTGGACCTAATCAAATGGTATGATTTAGGAGAAGCACTTTGAACATAGGAATCTCCAGATACGATAAGCTTAAATGGCTGCCGTGCCGAGTTTCAACAACCCAACAAACAGCAATTATAGAAAATTAATAGTTTTGTGAAACTTAAAAAGAACTATTATTTTTCTTTTTATTCGTAAACCAAATATGAGAATATATTTTGTTTCACAACATTACCTATGCATTTAGTTACATTTGTCGAAATGGTGTCGTAAATCACGAGACGATGTTTATCTATTCATACATTATTCATTTACATATTGATGTTTGTGTTACCTTGTTTGCTTGGAGGCTGGTGATCCGAACTCGCCTTGACTAGAGAGGTCAACATAAACCAACTAATAAGGCGGCCATAGCCATCCACCATCACTAACCATTAATGCTGGCCACCGCATTACCTGGAAACACGGTTTCGAACTAATTAATTTAATTATATAAACAATTTTCAATTGTTGTTATAAAAATTTGGAAGTAAAAATTAAAGGCTATTACATTTTTAATAATTCCTGTACTGTTTCTGCAAATAGAAATGACTCAGAAGTGGAAAACCACGAAAAATTGAGTACGCAGACAATGTAGTAGTACGACTTATTCTAATTTTATTATAATATTAAAATTGTTATGAAAAGTAAATTACACCTTATTTATTTGCGCCAAATACAGGAAGTAAATAATAATACAGAAAATTAACAGCTGTAAAAACCATACAGTTTTATGCTAAAAACATAATTGCCCTAATTGTGGAAATAAGGAACGAAAAAAAAGATGCATAAACACATCATAACATATAAAAATATTTTATCCATGCGACAGCTACATACAGGAAAAGATCATTAAAGAGAAAATCATTACAAACAGTAAATGTGAGATAAAAGAGAGTAAGAAGAAAGAGAAAGAGACGTGTGAGATAAAAAAGGAGTTCGAGAAGGAACAAGAGAAAGAAAGTGATAGTGATAGATGTGCAGGTAGAAAGAAAAGTACGAAGAAAGTGAAAAGAGAAAGAGGAGAGACGGCATATGGGAGAGAAGGGAGGATAGAAAAGTGATAGAGGGAATAGAGGGATATATAGATAAAAATAGAGATAATAAGAGAAAGGGAGAAAGAAAGAGAGAAGAGGTGGGAAAGTGAAAGACAGTGAATGCTTGATTGGGAGGATTCACATGAATGAGGGAAAAAGTGAATCAGTTACAAATACATAAATAAAAGTGAAATGCTTCTAAGAATTTGAATTTTGAAAACTTTTCTCCTTCTTTTCACCAATGTAAATTGTTAACTGGATGTAAGCTTATTATTAAATAAAACTATAGAAGAATGAAGGATTGAAAATGTTATGTTTCAGTGAAAATGAACTTTGAATAATGCTGAGCGTACGTGTGTTTCTTAATCAGATAATTGTGAGTGAAAAGTTTATTCTATGTTATTTTTTATTAATTAATATTTATGAAAGGAATTGGTTGGGATAAAAAAGTCAGTGTCACGAGCGGGATTCGAACCCAAGACCTTCGGCTAAATACGCCGTTACTCGACCACTTGAACTATCGTGACTTCGATCCGCACGGACACGAACTCCCCATCTCACCTCTCGAAATTTCCTTCCTTTTTACTATTTTTTGAAATGTCGTGTAATCTATTTGATTCTCGGCGATCTACCACGGTAGCTCAAGTGGTAGAGTAGCGGCGTATTTAGCCGAAGATCGTGAGTTCGAATCCCGCTCGTGACACTGACTTTTTTATCTCAACCAATACCTTTCATAAATATTAATGAATTGAAAAATGTTAATTGGTCAATCGGACCACCAACTGTAATAGAGTTATTTTTTATGTTTATTATTCAGAAATCGTGAAATGCGGTCTGGTGTGATGTAGGTTTCAGAAAAACATTTTCTTTATCGTGCCAACGCACGCGCAAATATGGCACAATTACTCAGAAGACAAACACTTTGAGTGAGTAGAAATACTTTGATTAAATATAAAAAATATATTTTGCATTGTATAAATTCACTTTTTTCCACATTCAACATGTATTTGTTAAATGTAAACAATTTTTGGAAATCCCAGGACCTAAAGATGATCTCAATAAAGATCGAAAAGTTGGCACGATAAAGAAAATGTTTTTCTGAAACCTACGTCACACCAGACCGCATCTCACGATTTCTGAATAATTATCGATGAACGGTCACTAATCACCACACATTTATGTTTATTGTTACGCTTTTATTTCCAAAAGTCCACAGATTTCTGTAAAATGAAGTACATAAAGAATTAGAAATGGCAGCCAATACAAATTTTAGCGGAAGATGGTAAATAAATTGAGATTTCCAACGAGTTGAATCTTGGCTATTCTCCAGAGAAGATCAACTAATTTTCCCCACTCCAGGTCAAAAGGATTCGTCTTGATAAGATTGAGTACAAATACTTTGATTGAATGTAAAATTTTATAGCATTGTATAAATTCATTTTTTCAATCTAAAATTTTCTAGCCGTGTATAAATTCATTTTATTTATTTATTTTTAATGTAAAACTTGTAGCATTGTATACATTCATTTTTTTACACCCTATATGTATTTGTAAAATTTAAATAATATTTATAAATCCCAGGCTCTGAAGATGATCTCAATATAGATCGAAACGTTGGCATGATAAAGAAAATTTTTTCTCACGTCACACCAGATCGCATTTCACGATCTTCGAATGATCATTTAGAACTATACAAAAAATTAAAATATTTTTTTTATTATATCGTCAATATTTTTTTTAAATATAATATTGTTTTAAATTAAATGTTTACGTTAGTTTGTCATATTACGAATAATAATCAAATAAATAATCTCCCACGATTACATAGGTTGTAATTGAATTTATTGGTTGTAAGGGGCACGAGATGACTTTTGTGTACCTTCCTGCGTTTATACACACCTCCATTTCCTCAATTTGATGGAAACAAGAAAATTCAATTTACATGAAAAAACAAAATAATTCGGGAAACAACACTAAAGGAGGAATGCAATAAACATGCAAAACAACTGGGAGAGAAAGGCAGGTAATCAATTCGACAGGCCGAATCCTTTCGGCTCCTGTAACTACATAGTGACATCTTCTCGGAGAAAACATCAGCTATGTACATTTCATCTTTTGTTTTTCCAATTGAAATAATTTTCACTTTAAGTTCTGTGTTTCTGAATAATATTTTTATTTAACGCAAAACATAATTGAGTAAGAAATAAGCATTTTTATCAAGAGAAATATTTTTAATCTCAAGGAAAATTTGTTCAATGATTTATCAATTTTATGAGGCAAGAATTTTATGAGAATTAATGTACAAATGTTGACATTTTGTGGTTCCAGTGGTATTTGAAGTTCAGCGTTAAACCAGAACTCTATTCAACTTAACGTGAAAGGGCACGTGCTTTTTTTGTACGAAAAAGCCCAGCTTTGGTTAACCGCAAAGATATTATTCTTCGACATGACAACACAGGACTACACTGTCACCACCTCAAATATTAATGAACTGGGATTGGAATTTTTTCACCGTCCAGCACACAGTAAAGATTCCGTTATTTCGTAAAACAATTTAAATATCAAGTCTAAAAGATAACGAATTCTCTGTCAGTTAAATTGAAGTCTCTATGATTTTGTTTAGTTTTATTCCCGTCAATAATATTAATAGTCAATTCAATGATGGTCAATTGATTTAATTAAATATTTGCTCATAATTTGACTATAACCCTATATTTCCAGCCTTCATTGTCCTAATGATTCTTCGTATAGTCAATGTGCACTACCTCATAAAAAAGTAGTGCAGTAATTAAAAAAAAGGGATTTTTATGGCTTATTTACAACCTAGTGGAAGGTGCAAAGAAAGAAGAACGAGAGAGAGAGAGAGTGAGAGAGAGAGAGAGGGAGAGAGAGAGAAAGAGAGAGAGAGAGAGGGAGTTAGAGATAGAGCGAGGGAGAGAGAGAGAAAGAGAGAGAGAGAGGGAGTTAGAGAGAGAGAGAGAGAGAGAGAGAGAGTGAGAGCGAGAGAGAGTGAGGGGCGGGAGTGTTGAATAGAGAAGAGAGAGAAGAGAATAAGAAAGAAAGGGAAGGATATTTTTTAAAGAGAAAAAGAATGTCGATTCTTTTTTCTATTTGTATTCTGATACATTTTAAACATTCTTGAAAATGTGCTTGAATTTGCGAACGCTGTTGATTCTTTCCCCCCTCAAGAGTTTGGACATTCTGAGAGGCGATTTTCGAAGAAAAGTACACGTAAAGAGGTCTGCGGATTCCAACGTTCGGGGTTTTTATTGCCCGGATCGGAATAGAAATTAGTTGCTATTCCCAAGGGGATCCCCGGACGTTCGAACGAAGCCAATTTGAGCTAAACACGAGAATCCTGCCCTCGTCGAACATGGGGATGGTGTAAATGCCGATTGAACATTATGCTCCCCTTCATTCAAACATTGTTGTTAATTTAACAGAAGGTATTTTAACAGTGTTTTGGCGGGAAGGTAGTCGGAAGATTACGTCACGTTATACCTTATTAGAAAATATTGAAAGGTTTCGAACAACAGCTTAAAACTTTTTTATTATTTTTTATTACATTCAATTCACTAATTTCGTGGTCCCCTTGACCAATTAATACTTTAGAATTAAGGTTTTCAGTTGAGATGAAAAAAATTAATTGGTCAAGCGGACCACGAAATTAGTGAATTTAATGAATTAAAATGAAGTATACTTCACTAAAGCTCTTCGTCGCCATTTCAATTGTCGTCGAGAATCCAAACCGATTACACGACATTTGAAAAATGGCAAAAGGAGGGAAAACTCATAAGGTGGGGTTGGGATGGGGAGTTGATGTCTGAGTGGATCGAGGTCACGATAGCTCAGGTGGTAGAGTAGCGGCGTATCTAGCCGAAGGTCGTGGGTTCGAATCCCTCTCGTGCCATTAACTTTTTTTCATCTCAACTAAAAACCTTCATTAATTGTAAATTATTTATTACTATCTACTACAAATATATAAATTATGTAATGTGATAACCATTTTCATTTGCAAATATAGTGAGGTGCGATCAACTAATGTTCTTCTGCCAGCTTTATGCTTTTATGAACCTATTCATAAAGAGGTTTCGGGGACATCTCCGTTTCAATCGCCTTACTGGGCTGTACGGCTGATATTGAACATTGATTAGGCTAATGTGCCAGAAAGAGAGGATAGTTTTTCATGGAATGTGGAAAATTTGGTGGGGATTAATTTATGGGCCAAGGGTCTTTTGATGTCGTTGCGGAGGGTGGTATTGGAGACATAGTATGGAGCGTTGACTATGATTCTGATGACTTTGGATTAGAAGGACTGAATTCGTTGAATATTAGTAGGTTTAGCAGCGCCCCACAGTTCTCGACCGTAGATCCAAATCG